ACGTTAGTTTCTATTCTTTAAAGGGATCTGATCAGAAATTTTGGAACATCGACGTCTGCAAATATAGACTCGGGTACAAATAAACTTGCCTTGCTCTTTGCCTTATCGCATATTGGAAAGAAGCTTGTTGGGAAATGTGACAATGTGATGTGACAATCTTTCTTCACTTGCACATAAAGCACTAACCTTGCAATACTCTGTACTAAAGCTCTACGTCCGGATCTTCTTACAGCCACAAACAGGAGTTCTTTTTTATCTTCCTTGAGTCAAAAAATTAATATGACAAAGTACTTTTTCTATTGGAACTCAGAAGCTTACATTTTCTGCTCTAATTATAAATGGTTTGAAATCTTTGCATGCACCTATGTAGCCATAAAGGTCTCTTGGAGAAGACGCTTTGAACGTTTTCATTTGGTGTAGCCATCCGAAATACACGATACAATTCCGTGTTATTCCAATCACTAAAAAGAGACAGCCAAATCCTATTTTCATCCTTCTACTGTCCATAGCGTTGAATACCTCTTATAGGTGGCTCATTAATGCGAACTCTCTTAGGATCAAAGTAATCACTGGCTGCCTTTATAAACAGATTTTCTTTGAAGCACGATTGTATAGTGATCTAGAATTTTTGTTCGACTGAGTAGATCGCTACAAATATTGGAAATGAAATTTCCTTTGCTTACCGATGAGTCATCAACCAAATCATGTCTCTCGAAGGTTTGCTTAAATAAATTTTGTTGAGAAATCTTTATTGTGGAAAACATAATGTATTTCAAAAATTTGTCTTCGAACAGGCTTATTCAAAAGAAGGAGCATAGTACAGTGTGCCAATAAGTGCACTCGTCCTTTATAAACATAAATTTTGATTAGTCTAATAGCTTCGAACTCTTTCATAATTTCATACGCCTTCGTTAAGGACCACGGGCGGGCCCAAAATGAACGAATATCGCGTAGTGCTCAGGCAAACCTAGACGTTTTGGTGTTCAGCATGGGTTTATAGACAATGTTCTGATTAAGCATCCTTAGCTCTGGAAAACCACTAAGAGGTGAGCAAAAAATCCTCAGATCTTGTTGAACTTATGCCGTAATAGGTTTTTGTAGTAACAATTTATTTCGCCTGACATTTCGGCTCAATGCCGTCCTCAGAGGCCTGAAAGAGAGTCAATTACCTATCAGGCGCTCATACCATCAAACACCTCTGTCACATCACACATTCGACTCCTCCTTAATGGTTGCGGCTAGGTCAAAGCTGATATGACTCACCAGTGTTCCACAGAGCTTAGCAGATGCTAGCTCACTTTCCAAATGTCCACAGATGACAGTAAAACTGAGCGATACAGAGGACTTGCAACCGTTTAAGTAGTGGTGGACAATCTCATAGCTCACAGAATTATAAAAACGGCCGTAAATCATTCGTTATAGACGATTGCTCGTTCTTGCTGTTTATTTTAGGGTTACGCGCAAGAATGGAAGCAACCAATGCTTTCCGAGCAGAAATATGCTCTTCAAATGCCAGGATAGCGCATTTGATATCAAAATCTTCTCCATTGTGGACTTCCTTTCTGTGCTTCCCTAAAGGACTTATGAGACTGCCGTCTTTTACTAGCCAGACCGTTCATTGACACGTACGGAAAGTTGTCGACCGGTCTCGCCTATGTACATATCATGGCAATCTACACACTCCAACTGGAAGACTACTCCGCACTTGGAGCAATCTCTTAGTTTTCCATTAGGACAAACTACACAATTTTGCGAGATGCAAGCCCTATCGCACAACTTATTGTGGACAAGCTGTTTTTTGATG